GGGTGTCTGGCACCACTGGCTTCAGGGCCCCCCAGTTTGCAGGCTGGGCCAGGAGAACGTGGAGAACCAGACGCCAGGAGAGGATATTGCCTTACTTTCCCGAGTGTCCACCTCCAGAGCAGAACCAAAGCCAGGGCCACCTCGATGGCAGTGGAATCTCGATGGGAGCAGACAGCCTCATCTTACTCCTGAGGAGCGGCTGCTGGGTTTGAACCACTGGCCTCACAGTTAGCAGCCCACCGCTTAACCAACAGCACCTCCAGTGCACCTTCTTGTATTAGGATTTGATCTTTATTTGCATCGAGTCCCTGTCTCTATCGGACAGGGTGGAATGGCCCCTGTGCGTTTCTGAGACTGTAGCTCTTTGTGAGAAAAGAAAGCCCCATCTTTCACCCCGGAATGGCTGGGGTTTTTGAACTTCTGACCTTGAAGGCTTCAGCACAATGGAAAGCCTCCTCTTTCTCCTGAGGAGTGGCTGGTGGATTCGAACCGCTGATCTGTGGTTAGCAGGCCAGTGTGTAACCCATGATGCCACCAAGGCAGGAGGCTGCCCTCTTTCAGGAGAGGTGACCAGGTCCTTTATCCCATGGAACGCCCTGTGGTTTTCAACACCTTCTGGGCCAGCAGCTGACGTTTTAACCATTGCATTGCCGTCATGCTTTTTGTGGGGATATGCACTGCCCAGCGGTCAATTCTCAACTGCCTGGAGAGGTTTCTGAGGCTATAACTCTTTCCAGAAGCAAGCTGCCTCATCTTTCTCCCTTGGAGTGGCTGGTGGATTCGAACTGCTGACCTTTCAGTAGTAGCCCAACCCGTAATCCACCTCCATCCTCCCATGCCTTATGTAGGGACCCACCAGGTCCAGTCTGACTCACAGGGATGCCCTAGGATGGAGCAGACCGGGTCCTAGCAGCAGCCCAGCGCTGAACCAGCTGTGTCCCTGTGGTCCTTAGGGGCTGACTCACAGCGACCCCATGTGCCCGGGGTGGAAGCATTGCATTACCACAATGCTGCAGCCACTGTGACAATCCGTCTCATGGAGGTTCTTCCTCTTTATGGCTGACCCTCCGCTTTATCAAGCCTGGGGTCCCTTTGCAGGGGCGAGTCCCTCCTGACAATGGGTCCAAAGCACTTTGCCAGCAACGCCTTCTTTCTGTAGGGACCACGGCTGGAATTTAAGGGAATCTTGGTTTTCATTCCAGGAAATGCACACTAGATGGCGCCACCGCCACACCGCACAGCAGGCTCTGCCCAGCTTCCCAGTAAGAGAGGGAGCTCCGGTGTCATAGTGGTTATGCGCTGGGCTGTGGTCCACAAGACTGGCAGTTTGAAACCACCAGCAGTTCCTTGGAGAAAAGATGAGGCTTTCAGAGTTACAGTCTCAGAAACCTACAGGGAAGTTCTACCCTGCCCTATAGGCTCGCTGCGAGTTGGCATTGTCTCTATGGCAGTGAGTTTGGTTTTTAATAGGCTCTAGAGGAGGTCTGGTGATGTAGCGGTTATGCGTTAGGCTGTGATCTACAGGGTCAGCGGTTTGAAACCACCAGCGTCTGCAAGGAGAAAGATTGTGCTTTCAGCTCCCAAGGAGAGTGACAGCCTCCCTTCTCCTGCAGGGTCACCGTGAGTCGGCATCGACTCACGGGCAATGCGTGTGGAGGGTTTTTAGTTTCTTTTTCCATTT